AGGAAGAATGAGCAGCACTCCTCCATGGCCACCACATAGATATTGTTTAATACAATAATTAAAAATGTTTCAGACTTTTGCTATTAGTGAGAAACCTTGTTATTGACTTCTATTTTGAGTTTTCAATGCCTGTGATGTCCTCTCACATGTATCATTTAAAGGATTCAAAATAAGAAAGAATGAAGATATACCTATTGGGTAGGGATTCACCTTTAAAAAACCAATTGTCTTAACCATTGATCAATTGACTTGCACAGAAAATATAAATTTGTTTCTGATTTTTGGAGGAATTCAAGTACACTTTTCTTCTAAATAACTAAGCTCTAAATGACTATCATTAAAACAATGTAGGGTCATCTGGCTCAGTCAGTTAATCGTCTGCCTTAGGCTCAGGTCATGATTCCAGGGTCCTGGGATGGAGCCCCATGTCGGGTTCCCTGCTCAGTGGGGAGCCTGCTTCTCCTTCCCCCTCTGCCCCTCCCCCTGCTCATTCTCTGTCTCTCTCTCAAATAAATAAATAAAATCCTTAAAATAAAATAAAATAAAACAATATAATTATATAGTGAAGATTTTAAAAGACATTAAAACAACAATTAACTTCTGTTTATCAACTCTACTTTTCAGCCTAAGGGTGTAGTCTTCAGAGTAATATTCATTCTGATTCTCTCCCTTCTGCAACACAGTCCATTGTCTTCAATATTTGTCTTTCTTTCTTCAATTTTTAACTGGGCATATGGCTGCCACTAATGAAGACTAGTTGTAGCTGTATAACTAAGTTCTGGAAAATGGGATTTTGGTGAAAGTAATATATGTGACTTCCAGAAGTGTCTGTAAAGAGAAGATGAATGTTCATCTCCTCCTCTTCTCTTTCCTATTGGCTTAATGTAGATAGACAAGAGAATCGGAGCTGGAGCAGCCATTTTGAATCAAGTGATAGCTGCAGGATGAGGTTGAAAGAGCAGCAAGGTAAATGAAGTCTAATTCTATCATTCCAAATCTAGATCATAGATCTGGACATTTTGAAGAGAGAAAAATAAAATTCTATTGTGCTTAAGCCATTGTTATTTTGGGGCTTCTGTCACTGGTTGCTAAAGTGAATCCTAAGCAATTCTTTTTTATTTGCTTGTTTTTGCTCACTATTTTATCCCCAACATCTGCTATGGGATGTGATGGGAGCTGAACTGTGAAAGAGAGCCATCTAGCAGAATAAATGTGATGGACTTTCTGTAGCCTGGGAAGAGGGATGTAAAAATATGAGTCAAAATTAAGGACAAAAGCATCTCTGGCACAAAACATACAGTCAATAAATATTTGTTGAGTGAATTAATGAATATAACAGGTAGTTGTCATATTTTTCAATCAAATATTATACCTGTCTAGAAGATCTTGTTCCTATACCAGTTAGTCAACTCCTACTAAATCTCTCAAGAACCAGCTTAACTGTGACTTGTTTCCCCAGCTTCTCCTGACATTAGGTAGTGCCTACTTCCCTGAGTATGTCTCTGCATCCCTTATATCTAGCTCTGCCATCATCTTATCATATTGGAACTTCAGAACAGTGCCCATGACTTTTCATTTTTGTGTCCTTAGTACTCAATATGATGGCTGGAAGGATAGAGGAGAAGCAAGGAAGCAATTCTTCCAAATGTACAAAAATTGATATAGGACTTTCCTCTGAAGATTTGCTTTCTCTGCAATTTAGGAACTGCATATATATATAGAGAGAGATTTATTTTAAGGAACCGGCTTATGAAATTGTAGGTGCTGGCAAATCTGAAATCTGCAGGACAGACTGGCATGCTGGAGACCCAGGAATTGAGTTGATGCTGCAGTCTCACATCTCAAGGCAATCTACTTGCAGAATTCCTTCTTCCTTCTTTTCTTTTAAGACCTTCAGCTCGTTGAATGGGACTTATTACAGAGGGTAATTTGCTTTACTCAAGGTCTATTGATTTAAATACTAATCATACCTGAAGAATACTTTCATAACAACATCTAGATTGGTACTTGATCAAAAGCTAGGGTACCATGGCCTAGCCAATTTAACACATAAACTTAACCATCAGAGGAAGCGTAAAGAGAAGTGAGTTTATTTAATAATTTTAAGTTCAAGTAATACTATTTAGATGACCTTTGCCAGGAAAATTGCATTTATTATTCAGTATTATAGCAGGTCACCATGAAGCCAGAAAAAACTATTGATTATGACAAATGAGAGAGAGGTCCTATAGAAAACAATCAGAAAATATAATCAGATGTGTTTGATAACCTCACATTCATTATTACTGCTTACACAAAGAAAGTTCACTCTCACAGAGCATTTCCTATGTAATAGAATTAAGCCAAGCTCATGTGAACCAAGAGTTGTGGGAGAAAAGCAAAAAGAATATGCACATCAGCAATTTCACTTAATTAAAAGATTTTTACTATTATTAATCAAGAATTTGAAAACCCTGAAGATACAATACTTCTTTGCCCAGGACAAGATGTCCTATTCATAGTCCAGATGAAAACTATATAAAAAGGAGGAAGGGTGGAAGTGATCCTTAGTATGTGTTGATCTAGATTAATGGTTGCAGTGTGCAATGTTGTAAATTTAACTTTTCTTGCTGTTTGTGCATTAAAGGGTACTCAATTGGCCCAAAAGAATTAATGCAACTTCTAAAAGTAGGCCAACTAATTTATAGGCAATAGCTTACATACCAGGAAAACTGGATCAATAAGTAATGTTGTATTTATTTCCAAGAAACCTAGCAATATTTTTCTCAGTGAAAAGCGAGCAGGGATGAAGTCAATCATAAAGTGCTTTTTTTGAGGGTGGAATGAGCATGGGGAAACGCCTCTCTCTGGAAGATGTATAAAGCAGTGAAGGTGAGGAGGAAAAGAAGTAAAATGCACATGGCAGGAAAAATCTGATAGATCTTTCTCAGTCTGGCAGAAAGGCAATGTAAAGAATTGGGGTCAAAATTAAGGCCAAAGGGGTGCCTGGGTGGCTCAGTCGGTTAAGCATCTGCCTTCGGCATCTGCCATGATCTCAGAGTCCTGGGATCGAGCTGCATGTTGGGCTCCCTGCTCAGCAGGGAGTCTGCTTCTCCCTCTCCCTATCCCTTTTCTCCTCCCCCCTTGCTCATGCTCTCTCTCTCTCAAATAAATAAAATCTTAAAAAAAAAAATTAAGGCCAACACCAAGAAAGAAAACCCAGTCCTCTCTGACATTATCATTACTAGAATCCCATTCATTTTCTGTTTTATTCATTCATGTATCAATCTTCTGTTTATTCAGCTATAGTTTATGGAGTACACACCAGGTGCCAGAGCCTGATCTGGGAACTGAGGCTGTAACAGGCCTAGTCTACACCATTCTTGTCCAGCCCATGCTTACCCAGCCTTCTCTGGAAGCTGCCTGTACACAGCTCCTACGCAGGCTGATGGCTGTCTAAGTTTCTCTGCTGAGGGTCTTTGCCAGGCCTGGGCATATGCTCAGAAATGTGTTAACACCTCTGATGGGCTCCTCAACCAGTGAGACCCAGGAGATGTTTGATAAATGCCCCAGTCTCCTTACCCTTGGAGGATTGAGGCCCAATTCGCTCCCAGTGGTGACCTGCTCATTGACGTTCTCTTCATTGGCTTTCCTCCCTTTCCTGTCTCTCTTCCCTGTTCCCTCCCTTGCAGTGTTGTCTGGGCTTATTTCCCCATCACTAAATCTTTTTCAGTTTTGGGGTGGGGGGGTAAACCAAACTAAGACAGCAGGAAATAAGGCAGATATGGTCTTCTTCTTATGGAACTTATCACTTGGCAGAGAGGCAATAAACAAGTCAAAGAAATAAATATACAAAATAATTTATTCTGATTATTGTCAGGACCCAAAGAAGGTAATAACCAGGATTATTGGAGAGTTGGAAGGGAGTGGGCCTTGTCTGGGCCATCTTGGAGGGCCTCAGTGAGGAGGTGACCTATAAGCTGAGGCTGAAAAGAAGGAGGCAGGTATGTGAAGAGATAGAGGGAAAATTCCTTTCCCATGAAGCTCTTTTTTCTGTCACCACAATCCCAGGGCTCTTAGGGATACTTCTTTCTCTTCCAGAGCAGCCCCCCATCCCCACAGGGCCCAAATATATCTGGTTGTAGCACCATTCTTGGTTCTGGAATTTGGACTATGTCCACTGAGAAGGAAGGGGGTCTGCGGAGCAGTGTGGGCTTTACTACTTTGGGGTCAGGCACGACAGGAGCTTGGGGGTAGTCTTCGGGGACTTGGCCTCCCCAGGATCACTGCCTGAAGTCCCTAGCGCTGTGGTAGATGGCCTTTGATGCAATCTAAACCCCTCCTCTGGATCCATCCTTTTCCCTGCTGCACATCCAGCGGGGTCTCATTCCCACCCTTTTTCAAAGCACAAAAGGCCGGGGTGGAAGAGGGGAGACCCAGTGGCTGCAGCTACTAGGGCTTCCTCTCCCATTTTCTGCTGGTCACAGCCCCATGGACTGGAGCTTCAGGCCGCCACTCTGGGCTGCTCTGGATGAGGGAGAAAAACACGTGAAGCCAGAAGAAAGGGGTTTCCGTATACTAGGCTTTTCCTTTATTCCTTCCATCAGAGGGGAAGATGAGTTATATTCTCACCTGTGTAAGATCTGGGGACATTCCCTCCCCCCGCCCCCCGCCAATTTTGATTAACTCGTGTTATACATACGTATCGGAAAAGGGGATAACAGTACTCTGAATTTGGTAATAAAGGCATCATTTTATAAGGAAAGACTGTTGTTTTCTTTATAAAATCACATCCTGTCCTGCAATGATCATGCTGGAGGACACCAGAGCGGGGAAGGTTCCCCCACCCCCCCTTTTTTTTTTAACTCGCAGCTCGTCATCTCGTTCCGGCCACGCTCCAGCCATTTCCAACATCCGGGTCCTGCAGCAACGCTGAGGGCCTGAGCGCAGTCAGGATTCCTCCGCTTGCACTCCCGCCCGCCGCCTCTATGTCCCCTTCCGAGTTCCGGTTTCCGGTCTAGGGATGGGGGACCTGCTTGTTCCTGAGTGATTGGCGGCCTTTATTCGCGGTGGCCGTCTCACCATAACAGCTCGCAGAACACAGCAGACTTAGCTCCGTGATCCCGAAGGTTGACGCCATGTCTGCACCAGGTTTGAAGGGGTGGCAGTGGGAAGGAGGGTGTTTTGCTACCCATGCTGACCTTGGAGAGAACAGTATCAGCATAGATATTGTTCTGGGAATGGGGTATGATATGACGGGAAGGATTGGGTAGAGAGGAAATAGAGAAGAAAAAGTGTTCATTTGAGATTTTGGCCGTTAAGAAAAGAAAAAAAAATATCCCAAGAATGGGAAGTAGAGGAATCCACAGGGTGAAGGAACTTTTAAATTTTTAACCAAGATGAGGGATATCTGAGCATATTAGAAAGGAGAGGGACTGAAAGAGAAGAGACGAGAGGATTTATGAGGGCAATTTCTCAGTGTCACAAGCCTTGTCTTATTTGCATTGTACAGCCCCCCACATTGACAACAGTCTCGTCCTCCATCACTTCCTCCTCCTTTGTCCTTTATCTTCTTGTCCTCCCTTTCATTGACTTAATATTTCATGCTGGCTGTATGGAGAGAGAACATATAATATAAAGTTCTCAGAATCTGCACCCGAGCCCTGTGATAATTACTGCTGTCAACAGTTTGTGGATATTCCTACAGATTTTTCATACATTAATACACACATAAATGACTGTTTTTGCAATAACTTATATTTTCAAATATCAGATCATATTATATGTTGGCCATTAATTTTTTTCTATTGTTAATGACATATTTATAATTTTAATATATCTGCCCTTTCTTTTCTAAGAGGTATTATTGCCATATGATTAAGAGACAGTGTTCTGGTGTCAGACTGCCTGGGTTCAAAGTCTGGCTAAGCTACAACAGTCAGTCCTTTCTTTGTGTAGTTTTGTTTTGCATGAATTTCAGTTGCTGTGGTTTAGTTAAACAGTACCAGACTCTCAACAACACAATTCAGGGGGCGCCTGGGTGGCTCAGTCGGTTAAGCGTCTGCCTTTGGCTCAGGTCATGATCCCAGGTCCTGGGATAGAGCCCCATGTCATGTTCCCTGCTCAGCAGGGGAGCCTGCTTCTCCCTTCTCTACTCCCTCTGCGCCTGCTTGTGTGCTGTCTCTCTCGCTCACTCTGTCTCTCAAATAAATAAATAAAATCTTAAAAAAAAAAAAACAAAAACCTGAGCACAATTCAGATTTCAGTTACCGTGTAACTAATTGCTCAAAGAAGAAATGTTGCTGCTAGCTTTTCAGACCAGTGACCAATCACATCACTTCTTTCAAAATCTGTTGGCGAATGGTCATTGTACATCTGTTATTCAGTTCACCCACACACAATAAAGCACATAATTATGTTGCTTCCGTGTTTCCCATTAATAAACCCCTGTGACATTTTAGAAAAGTGGATAATAAAAAAGAGAGAATTGGCTAACAAAGATGAAAGAGCAGCAAAGAAACAAAAAGTGATAGTGCTGAAAGTGAAATTCAAGTAGAATTTCTAGAAGAAATGACTGACCGGGGAACGTTGACATTGCTCCCATGTGAGAGAACCTATATATGCAGCCAAGGGACTTAGTGAGGGTGCATTGACCTAAATGAGGAAAGTGCTTGTGATGGAAAGGAGGAAGATATCGAAGTGACACCTGCAAAAACTTCACATCATAGACACCATGGGAGATATTTCACAACATTGAAAGCATAAAGGATAAAATATTAGAAAGTGATCCAAACTTAAACATGACATTACAGTTTGGGTGCCTGGGTGGCTCAGTTGGTTAAGCATTCAACCCCTGATTTCAGCTCAGGTCATGATCTCAGAGTTGTGAGATTGAGCTTGGTGTCGGGCATGGAGGCTGCTTAAGATGCTCCCTCTCCCTCTCCTTCTGCCCCACCCCCTCCGAAAAAAAAGGAAATTAGGAAAATGACATTGCAATTTGCCAAGGCATAGAAAAATGCTCCCTAACATAAGTTATATGAGATACAATTTGAACGAATGTTCAGACTATTCCTGATGAGTATTTTTACAAAGAAAGAAAACACTTTTAATTTCTAATATTTAAATTGGAGTGTACTATCATTTGTATTATTTTTTTAAAAGATTTTATTTATTTATTTGAGAGAGAGAGAGAGCATGAGAGGGGAGAGGGTCAGAGGGAGAAGCAGGCTCCCCGCTGAGCCGGGAGCCCGATGTGGGGCTCGATCCTGGGACTCCAGGATCATGACTTGAGCCGAAGGCAGTGGCTTAACCAACTGAGCCACCCAGGCACCCTATCATTTGTATTATTTTCTTTTCATTTCTCTGTGCATTTATAATAGACAGTATAACTATTTGTAATCTTTTGATAAAAAACTTTAAATCATTATTTTCTCATTGATTATCAAGCTCACTTTACCATATTCAGCATGCATGGTCATTTTATGGTCCACATTACTATGTAAAGGAAGGACTACCTGCATCTAGCTGAGTATCTTGAGTGAGTTATTTCAGCTGTCTATGGCTCATTTTTTTTCACCTGAAAAATGGAGATAATGATGGTATCTACCGTATAGGGATGCTGTGATAGTTATCTGAGTTAGTATCTATAAAGCAATTAGAACAAATAATAGGTAATTAGTAAGTAAGTAGCATTAGTTGAATGCCCTGTTATATTTCATTGTATGGCCATATCTTAACTTTTAAATAGTCCCTTATTGTTGGAAATTTATAATGTTTGTAATAATTATCTGTGATAAACAGTGTTGCAGAGATCATCTGTGTACATAGATCTTTGAACACTAGCTGTTTTTGTTAGATAAATTCTTGAGAAGGATAGTAGCATTACATAAAATGACCACTCACAAATTTAATAAATATTTCTAGATTGCCTTCCAAAAATATACCAAGGACATATAAGTCCCTATTTCCCCAGGGTCACACAAATTCTAAATATTAGAAACCTTTTAAATTTTTGCTAATATGTTAGGCAAAAATGATATCTGATTTTAACTAGTATTTTTTTTTAAGATTTTATTTATTTATTTGACACAGAGAGAGCACAAGCAGGAGAGCAGCAGGCAGAGGGAGAGGGAGAAGCAGGCTCCCCACTGAGCAGGGAGCCCAATGCAGGGCGGATCATGACCTGAACTGAAGGCAGACGCTTAACTGACTGAGCCACCCAGGTGTCCCTTAACCGGTATTTCTTTATTAAGGAATGAGCGTGATCATTTTTCACATGTTTATTGACCATTTTGTATGTCTCTTGCTGAAAGGCCTGTTACAGTTCTTTGCTTATTTTCCTATTGATGTGTTATTTTCGTAGTGATTTTTCCCTTATTTTCACACATTAAATAATGAAATTAAATGTTGCAAAAACAGCCGCATATACTACCTAAATAAAATTAAAAGCAATTTTTCCATATTTTCAATCCCTCAGTCTAGGCAATAACATATTTCCTCATAACTTAAAAAAAAAACTTTTTGTTTTAAAACAATTATAGACTCCACTGGAAATTGCTAAAATAGCATGCAGAGCTCTGTGAACCCCTTACCCAGTTTTTCCCAGTCATGACATTTTATATAGCTATAGTACAATATCAAAACCAGGAAATTGATATTGGCACAAAATTGTTAACTTGATTACAGACTTTATTCAATTTTTATTCCTCTGTGTATTTAAAGTTTATGCAGTTTTATCTCGCATATAGATTTGTGTAACCACCACCATAATCAAGATACAGAACTCTTATCCTCAAAAAGGAACTTCTTTGTACTATGCATTTATAGTTGCACTCACACCTGTCCTTGTCCCCTAGCAACCACTGATCTGTTCTCCATCTCTTTAGTTTTGTCATTTTAAGAATGGTATACAAATGTAAGCATATAGTATGTAACCATTTGAGATTGGAATTTTCTACTAATGACCCTGAGATCCATCCAAGTTGTTTGCATCAATAGTTTATTCCTTTTTACTCCTGAGTAGTATTCCACTCTATGGATATACCAGAGTTTGTTTAACCATTCACCCATTGAAGGACATTTGGGTTGCTTCCAATTTTGACAGTTGTGAATAAAGCTGATATGAACATTTATGCACAGGTTTTTGTATGAATGTAAGTGTTCATTTCTCTGGGATAATTGTCTAAGTGTGTGACTACTGGGCAGTAGTATGGCAGATGAATGTTTAGTTTTATAAGACACTTTCAATTATTTTCCAGAGTGGCTGTGCCATCTTACATCCCCCCAGTAATGTATGAATGATATAGTTTCTCTGCATATTTGCCAGTATTTGATAATTATCACTATTTTTTATTTTAGACATCCTGATAGGTGTGTAATGATACCTCATTGTGGTTTTAATTTGCATTTCCCTAACAGTTAATAATGCTGAACATCTTTATGTGGGCTTAGTTACCATTCATAACTCATCTTTGGTAAAATGTCTCTTTACCCATGTCTTTCACCATTTTCTTTTTCTTTCTTTCTTTTTTTATTTTTAAAGGTTTTATTTATTTGTCAGAGAGAGAGAGAGCACAAGTAGGGGGAGCAGCAGACAGAGGGAGAAGCAGCTCCATGCTGAGCAAGGAGTCCCATGCAGGACACGATCCCAGTACCCTGGGATCATGACCTGAGCTGAAGGCAGACGCTTAACCAACTGAGCCACTCAAGGGTCCCTTTCACCCATTTTCTTACTAGGTTATTTGTTTGTTCGTTTCTGCTATTGAGATTTGAGAATTCTTTATATACTCCAGATGAAATTCCCTGGTGGTTTGCAGCTATTTTTCTCCAGGGTGCAGCTTGTCTTTTCACCTTCTTAACAGAGCCTTTCACAGAGCAAATGTTTTAAGTTTTGATAAACTTTAGCTTATCAGTTTTTCTTTTATGGCCTCCTTACTGATTTTTAAGTGCTCATGTATTAGGGAAATAGTCCTATGACAGTCAGGGGTACTGGAAATAGTTTTCCAATTTTTATGTTAGTTTATTCATAGTACTTTGTTCCACATCAAAGTTTCTCTTTTTGTGTAGTCACATCATCATTTTAGTATGTTACATGTTTTGTGCTATGCTGTTTCTAAACCTCTTCCTTAAAATTCTGTACTTTTTTGGCTTCT